ATTAGGTGTTGCAAAAGCATGTCTTATAACTGCTACAAGATTTGGAGAAGCTTTTTTTAAAAGGACAATCAACCAAGTCCAACTTAAACACAAGCTATTTACAATTTAAAATTGGCTTCTTTGGTTTAACAAAGACCAGTCGAGATTCCACAACAATGCCGGAAAGCTTTGTACTGAAAATTTCAAGTGCTCTTACTTATCTATATAAGTGTTTAAAAAAAAAATTTTTTTTTAATTTATTTACCAGGAACCAATGGCCAATTACAGTAATCCTCACTCAACAAGAGGTACAGAAAATGACTATATGCATGAGTCACATGAAAAGACCCTAATACTAGAGGCCAATAATGTTCCACTTTCCAAATCAGTTGCTTTTGAGTATCTCATTTTCAATTCTTCCTATCCAACCCTAAACAAACCCAAACAATTACAGATTTGAAAAGCTAAACAAAATGCATTAGACTAAAATGCAGAAGAAAATTAACCTAAACAAGTTAATATGGCTCAAGACCTGGATACAAGAACCGTGGGTCAAATTCTCAGTGCTTTTCAGTGAGACTCTGAAAGTGATATTCTGTATTCTATCCACTGCCTCTTTTTCATCACTTTTAAGTATAATTATTTCCCTTGCAACGTGTGCACAACATTCTGAAACGCACTCATTTGTTACGTGGTTTTCTTTAGATATTCCTGATGGTTCCACAATCCAAAGAAACCTACCTATTACAGAAAGAGAGGGAAATAATCATGCTCCCAACAAAACGCTATTAATGACTGAAATGTCTAGGAATGCAAAATACTACAAAGACAGGATTCTAATATTGCAGTCACAGACAGAAATAGGTAATGTGTTAACCACCATTAGACAGCTTTTTAGACCTCCCTCAGAATTGAGTAGAATAAAATTCAGCATAAATGCTTTATTTTGGCTGATGAGAAACTTAAGAAAAATCAAGAACAGATTCATCAGGCAATGATGAATTTTAGATCTTGTCAAAAGCTGCTTGAGATAAGTCCTACTTACTTTTTCATCTAAACCATTGTTTGCATAAGAGCACATTAACAATTTCATTGTTCTCCTAAATGTCAGCAAATCCAAGTACAACTAGAGTACAGAGTACGAGTGACTCTCTGAGGTAAGAAAATCAACAAAACTATGTTGTTCTATTCAGAGGTTTAGACTTAAATCTGATCTGTTACACACGCATCATCACTATCAGGTCAGTAACAGCCATGGACAATTGTTGCAATAAAAAGAACCTTGAACAATCAGCTACACTGAAAAAAAAAAATACTTTTTTTTTTTTTTTAAACAAAGGCGCATGATTTTCTACACATAATTACACTTATTCTGAGGCCTACTCTCTCTTACTAACCAATCTGGTTTTTAAAAGACAATTCTCAGAATTTCCTTCTGCCACTACTATACTATTTAATGCAATACTTTAGAACTGAATTATTGTTTGTGGTACATAAACTTTTTTAAACAGCTCAGAAAAATAAGCAGTTAGAAAATATTTACTGAGAGAGCATTTGATGTGCTGCTTTTCCTACAGTGTATTGAAATACTACAGTCTCATTATGCTTCAGGTTTTGTTTTTCCTTAGTCTGCTCTACACAAGTTTTCGTCATACATGCATTAGCCCAAAACCAAAGTTCATGCCTAAAGATTACCTATTTCATACCGTAAACACACACCCCAATAAAGACTACTGATTGGCAGTCGCTTCACACAGACCTTCTAATCTAATATTTATTTGGTATTCCTTATATCCACAGTTTGTTTGTATCACACAAATACAACTTACAGAGTTTCTTCAAGCTGGAAGTGTTTGCAAGCTGCAAATTAGACATGGCAACTTTTTTTTTTTTTTAATATACATAAATTTTCCTCCAACTTACTCTGACAAGAAGAGCACAGTGTCTTGAAATTTCAAGTGCAGGCAAACATGGTAGCATTTTAATAACACAAAATACAAGTGAAAAAACTAAGTTTCCACTATGGTTTTGGCTCTGTGAATGTGCAATTTAAAAACTGAAACTGTCAAAATAGGAAGATGTGGGATCCAACAGATTTTGGGTTAATTGATCTGATGGATCAATAAAACAATTACAATTTGTTATAAATCTCTATGATAAACCAGACTTAAGCTTTATTTATGAAAGCCAGGCCAATCAAAGGTATTTTGGGGGGAATACAATGTTTCACTGTAAAACAAATATTTATTTGCTCTACTCGGCCATTAAAAAAAAAATTTACAACATCATAAAGTCTGCTTTATCCCCCTAAGACAATATAAAAATGAGCTTACTGAAAATAGAAAAATTTACAGGATTAGACAAGTGCATATGCTGACGCTGCTTACAAAACTTAAAATCAGCAACATTAATTTTTTTTAACATGATCAATGTTATTTAAACTTATATTTTGAAACTGAAAAGTTCATGGAGATTTTTCTCAATACTCATCATGGGTACTAAAAAGAAATTCACTGAATACTGAAAACTGTTTATTATACCATGCTTTTTTAGACCCCTACTTATCAAGTATCCCTCTTAGCTTTGGAAAGAGCTTATCTTTTCACAATCATCTAATTTGTGATTTATTAGGAGGGAAAAAAACCCAAATGCTAAAGCACTGACTGGAGCCTATTCCGACAGATGCATCTCATGCCACTCATAGTCATGTGGTTGGCATGAAATACCTGAAATACAGAAACTTCTGAAATGCACACGTTCCTTTCTCTCATTCCCAAGGAGCGAACTGCCTTTTTACATAAGTCCAAGTATTAACTGACAACCTGCCTGAAACATGACACCCAGGGGAAAACGGGGGCGGGGGGGACAGAGGAAGAGGGTGTCATTCGCCAAGCCAGTGGGTCAGATTCCCTCAGGGAGAGGGCGCGGGTGACCTGCTCACACATCCGATGAGTGATGGTGCAAAATAACACCACAGATATCAGCACCGGTTAACAGCTAGACTCAAGAGGCGTGCCCACACCGTGGGCCAGAGCGCGGGAGAGGGAAAAGGCCAGATGCGAAGGTAACCGAGTCCTCCTCCTCGGCTCCCCTCGCCGCTCGCTCGCACCACGGCAAGGCACCCGCTCCTGGGTCTCCCCTACCTGCTACAGATAGAGGGAGACCTTACGGAGCGGCTCCGGGAAGGGTACGCAACCACCCCAACC